TGTGTGTGTACTCATCTAGTTGTGCATGCGGGGGGTTGAGCTTCGGTTATTTCGTCCCGCCTCTCTACTGCCACTCAATTGGTGTACAGGCTCCTGAAGTGTGTGTGTAATTACCTAAGTGTAATTACCAACATATTTTTACATGATGAAAGTTACGCTCGTGGTGTCCCGTTTTCCTAGTACTCTTTGTCGTATAACACTTTGAAACTACTTACGGTTTTGGCCTCCACCACCTTGTCACTTAACGTACGTACGTGTGTGTGTGTGATATCAAGGAAATAGACAGTCAATGAGAGACGGTATGAGGACACCGTCTCGTACCGTCTCTCCTTATAAGACGGTGTCCTCTAGATACCTGAGGACACCGTCTCAGTCCTCAGGTGTAACCTAGATACCTGAGGACACCGTCTCAGTCCTCAGGTGTAACCTAGATACCTGAATGAACAACAGAGACATTACAAATATTTCCTCCAGTGTCAGAGATGTAAAATAGAATGTACTCACAAAATGATGAGGTGGAGACATCACTCACAGCTTCAACTGTAGACGCGACGGATGACGAGAGACTTTAAAACTGCTAAAAACTGACTTAAAATATTGAGAAACAGGTCACAAAATGTGAATGTAAATCCTCACTTGGTGAGCATGCTCGCTCACACACACACACACATTATAATAAGTGGAAAGAGGCAGCGGGAGTCAATGTTGTGAAAGTATCAAGGTTCTTTGCACAGTGTTGTTACAAAAACCTTACCGTGGTGCTCATTGTTACATACCTCTATAAGATACGTAATTAAATAAATTAATATGTACCTTTATAATTGTGTGTAAATTACAAGTATGTATATTGATATACTTATATGTTCTATGTAAAATAATTTCATATTACATTGTTGGCGTTAGGCCCAACGTATCGTGGGAATGATTGTTTTATTAAGATTACTCTTGTCACAATGTATTGCTCCATTGTAGAAATAATAAATATTGTAACTTTGGCAAATTTTTCGCGGGGCAAAGGCAATGATTTTGGCTCCCGCAGATATGTAAGTCAGTAGCTGATCCGGAACCAGAGAGTTAACATCTTGTGGAGTTAAGTTTTATATTATTGTTCTGTCATAACCATACATATAATAATATTATATTAATTTCCGGGAGAGACAGTGATATTTTTAATTTGATATATTTGTAATGAAATAACCATCTGTATGCTATTGAGATTTATGTTATATATTTATATATAAGTTTTATATGTATTCCTTCAGTCCTAAAGGAAAGTTTTAACAAAGTGCTCATTACTTATTAAGGGGTTATACTGGTGACCCGCTCTTGTGAACAGCAGTTTTTTAGTAACCATAGACCTTTTTAAAGTTGGCTGTTGTAGGGTCACGAGCCGTAACGTACGATAGGTAACACTCATCTACTCTACCTTCCGTATCCTGCTCTTGGTATCGAGCTACGCAGTAGATGCTAACTACGGGAAAGGTAGTGTGGGGGAAATCACGAATGTAAAATCGTCTACGAGAGAGCGGCGAGGACCGCAATATTATTATTGTATCTGGACGCAGCGGCCGTGCGCCGTGTGTGTGAACCATCGAGGCGGAGCTGTACCTCAACTGCACTGATATAGAAAATGAGAGCCAGCTGGCAGACAAAGACAGACAAGGTTGGCCTCACCCTTCCACCATAGCAAAACACGCTAACCTGGTGCTGAAGGCCAGCGTCCTAGCCAATACCACCTTCCAGGGTGGCAACTTATACCTTCCAGGGGTTTAGCGTGTATCAGTCTCCCCTGGAGGAAGTGGAGGTCGGTGCTCTCTCTCTCTCTGCCAGATACTGCATCGCTTTCCAGGCCTTGTTTCCTATACCAGTGGCCACAATGTCCAAGTGTAACATTAATACAACGCAGAATTAACGTTACTCTTGGACACTGTGCCCACTAGGACAAAATCATCATGTGGGAAGAACTCGTGCTGTTTAGCCACCGTGTCTCAATACAGCTCATATTCCACCAGTTATCAACATGCCCGCTCCTCGTCTCACATAGCCGAGGGTACTCGTCTAATGTGGAGTCCCGTGAGGTTTCTGCCTGTCGGGGAGCACACCAGAGGAGTCTGCGTCGTCGTGAGAAAGCTGGACTCTGTCACTCGCCTCCAGATATCACCCTTTCTGTTGACCAGACCACACACTAGAAAGTGAAGGGACGACGACGTTTCGGTCCATCCTGGACCATTCTCAAGTCGATTGTGTGGTCCATTCTCAAGTCACAATCAACTTGAGAATGGTCCAGGACGGACCGAAACGTTCTTACATTTTTATAATTACCTGAGGATAAGGGGTGTTAGGCTCCGTCTGGTTGGGTTTGATTGGGTTGGTTAAGGTTAAGAATATTTTAAAATTTGTTGACAAACAGTCGTAATTAGTTTTCAGGCTTGTATCGAAGTCTCCAAAGATCGGAATATTGAACCCCCACCCCACCAGGATGTCAGTGTTCTTGCAAATGATGTCATTCAGCTACACACTACACGGATCCTCCCAGCTGAAGGCGTCACTCAGCTATCCTCTCCTAGCATCCTCCCAGCTAAAGACATCAGTCACTCATTTATCCCCATTTAGGAAACTCCCAGTCGTTGTTGTCACTCAAGCAGCTGAGAGGATCTATGAGTCACTCAGCATGAAGCGTCTCAAAGGGAGGGAGCCGGTCGGCCGAGCGGACAGCACGCGGGACTTGTGATCATGTGGTCCTGGGTTCGATCCCGGGCGCCGGCGAGAAACAATGGGCAGAGTTTCTTTCACCCTATGTCCCTGTTACCTAGCAGTAAATTAGGTACCTGGGTGTTAGTCAGCTGTCACGGGCTGCTTCCTGGGGGTGGAGGGCTGGTCGAGGACCGGGCCGCGGGGACACTAAAAGCCCCGAAATCATTTCAAGATAACCTCAAGATAACCTCAAGATAACCTTAAACAATAACTTAATAATTGTATAAAAAACAATGTATATTTAATTATCAACAAGACGGAGGCGCTCCTCCCCCGCACAAGGGGGTATATAAAGGTTGGGAGGTGAAGTTCCTTTGTTCGTGTGGGAACGGCAGGAGGCAGGATGGCACGTCGCTCAGAACAATCAATCAAATCAGCTGGTGAGTGTAAGAGGTTGGTGTGTTCAGGGTGATGGTGTGGCCAATCAGGTGGTGTATGCTGGGTGACGGTGTGGCCAATCAGGTGGTGTATGCTGGGTGACGGTGTGGCCAATCAGGTGGTGTATGCTGGGTGACGGTGTGGCCAATCAGGTGGTGTATGCTGGGTGACGGTGTGGCCAAGCAGGTGATGTATGCTGGGTGACGGTGTGGCCAATCAGGTGGTGTATGCTGGGTGACGGTGTGGCCAAGCAGGTGATGTATGCTGGGTGACGGTGTATTCAAACCAGCAGGTGTCTAACTTCCAACCCGTTCTCGCAAATTTAATAAGTCAATATTGACTTATTAAATATGTGCATAGGTGACATACTTAACATAATCGTTTCCCTTGAAAAGCTTCATAGAAAACACCGACCTTACCTAACCTACTTAGTATGTTAAGATAAGCATCTTATTGCTTCGTAATTACAATTATTACCTAACCTATACCTATAATAGGTTAAGTAACAATTGTAATTACGAAGCTATAAGATGCTTATTTTAACATACTAAGTAGGTTAGGTAAGGTCGGTGTTTTCTATGAAGCTTTTCAAGGGAAACTATTATGTTTAGTATGTCACCTATGCACGCAACTAATAAGTCAATATTGACTTATTAAATTTGCGAGAACGGGTTGCTAACTTCCTCCACACCCGTTACTGGCGATCAATTCACCCTGTAAAAATCTTTTACTTACAGAAACATCATTTCATTAGACGATGCATGTAATGTACCCAGAAAAGATGAATAAGCAGTTCTCTTGTTTGGGATTCTGCCGTGCCGTGTCTTAAGAAACAAATGTTGTACCTGTCAACCAGGCTAGCACGGCCAGTGCTCAACTGTTGTCGCCAATTCTATTTACACAACTAGAATTTTATTTTAAGATATAATGCATGATTGCCTGTCTCTTAACAAATTTGGTTTGCATAGCTAGTGGAGCAAAACATGAATTAATGAAAAGTAAATAATATCAAACTGTAAGTTAGAATTCTATGTGACAGATTTTAAATACTCAATAGTTGCCTGGCTGGATATCTGCGAATCCCCCATTGATCAAAGGGTCTCTGCCCTTCCTACTGGTGTAGCCTCACCGTTTGGCGGACTTTTGGCTCCCAGTACGTCAGGGTGTCGCTGGAAAACGTGAGGCTAATTTTGTCCGTTGGGTTTTGTTCCTTCAACAGCGATTGATCTGGCTCTAGAGATACTCCTCTGGTGCCCCCGCGGAACATGGTGGGCATCTGGCTCTTATTACGCTTTTTGTCGAACTTAGATCAACATGGATACCTAACTTTTGTATCTGCTCTCCTTGTCTTCTGATTGGTTATCTGTGCCGGGTGAGAGCTTCTAGACCAGGGGTCTCCAAACTTTTCAATGTAAGGGCCACATTATATATTTCCCATATTTATGCGGGCCGGAGGAATAAAAAATGAAATTGCTATTTTGTATAACTAAGATAAAGGCATTGTCAAAGTACAGAGAAAAGAATATTGTACAGTGTTTGTGCTCCCTGAAACGGAAGCAGCGAAGCCCCACTCGCCCTCCATCCCCACAATATACAGTTATACACAACTGATTGGTTGTAATGCACAACACATACCTACCAGTATTAGTATCTGTGCGTCACACTATCGAGAGAGAGGAAAACTGACTCGGGTTGAGCGCCACCAGTCAGCAGCCCCAGCTTTGAATAATTCTGCGATGCCATTCGTACGATAATTATTTTTTCAAGGCCACCACACAGGGATTTGTTTGGAGGGCCGGATGAAATTATGTGGCGGGCCGGATGTGGCCCGCGGGCCATAGTTTGGAGACCCCTGATCTAGACTTACAGTGATTACAATGACCAGTGCTGTCAGCAACACCCTGGTGCCCGGCATCCCAGACTCTGTCAGCTTCAAGAGTCCCCTCAGCGGCCTCTGGAATCACGCCCTCAGGAACCAGAAGGACGACAAGGGCCAGCCGCTATTGAGTGATGAACCTGGTTAGTCTAATATGACTGAGAGTGTAAACTTCGTCTGCTTGCAAGAAAGCCAAACACCTACTGGTAAACATCGTATAAAATACCCAACTTCACATTGTATTATTCCAAAATAACTACTTTTTAATGTATGATAAACAAATCAAAACCACATGAGCCTCTCGTCTTCCTAAAACTAGGTAACATGATTTTGATTCTGAATTGAGGTACATTGCTAAAGTTGGGTGTTTTCTTGGTAACACTCAAAACTGTAGTTTATTTAATAAACACACAATAAAGAGGTGTATATAAATATTAGCTGTTGGCTGAATAAGTAACAATGAACAGGTAGCAAGAGTACAATCGTGCACATTAATTAGATGTATCGCTTATCGATTATTATTCTCATTAATGTTCAAATAGTACTGTACTAGTCAACTGTTTCGGCGAGACTTGGTTGTCTGTCAATGTATGAGCTGAGGATGACATTATTGATAATGTATGCTGTGCACTATTGCCTATTTTGGAAATACTAACTTCCAATTTTTGATGAATGAAATATATTAGAACTTTTAACATGTATTGAGCGGCGTGACGTTTGCAGGTCCCAAAACAGTCTTGTCTCCCGGTTCTCTGACGCTAATGAACCTTGTACCAATGGACGGCCCACACCCCCTGTACAGTAACGAGCACGTGGACCTGCGCACAGAGTTCCTTCTGGACTACATGGTGTCAGAGGCTGTCAGTCCGGATAACGCAGAAATGCTGCAGCCCAAAGGTCTGTCTGTGAGCAACCTCAATGGCAACCAGCTCACATTTAAGAAGGATGGCGAAGGTAAAATTGGAGATTATTATTATATTCAATACCTCACGATTATATTTATTTTATTATTATTATTATTATTGAATAATCTGCATCCAGATAACGTGTAACTTATTCTTCGGAGTTTAAACTAAAGTATCCTAATTAAGTGTTGTGTTAAGACACTTATAAAAGCGTACATGTGAAAGTTTGCACACACTAATTCTTATTTTTTTTTTTTTATTAAGATATGAGGTACATCTGCTAATTCTTATACCGTCTGCATATTTAGTACTGTATTTGTATGTGCTTGTGAAATTTCAGATCAGATCACTGTAAATGGCGTGAATGTGGACGATGTCGAGACGTTATCTGACGGGATCGTCGCATACACATTGGATGGCTTCTTGTTCGACCATCAGAGTCGGGTGGACAAGGCTTTCCATAAGCTCCAGAAGACTCGGCCGAGGATAATCCATTTGGTAGACTTCTAGGTAATATATTTATATTTTATACATGGACTGTAGGAATTAAGTCTTGTGTAATATATTCCCATTGATCTCGTAGAACATTAATATAATGTTTGACAAATACGGAACCGCATTTCAAGTTTAATATAATATAGCAACCACACTGAGTGGACGTGTTCACGGATATGAGCCCTATTCCCATTTTTGTTTGTACATTGCTGGGTACTGGAATAAGTGTCTTGACTCTTTGTATAAAAGTCAAGACACTTATGACTCTTTGTAATTATTCTTGTAGTCTTCACTGCTTTCTAACACATTAAACTTGCTTACTCCCTGTACACTACAGTAGCATAGTCCTTCTTGATCTTCTGACTCAATTGAACCTCTAGCTCCACTTGTGCATGTCCTGCAAACCTCAACTGTGTTAAACAGACCATTCTTGTCCACTTTGGCTTTGTCTCTAAAGATCTTGTATTATGTTGTGATCATGTCTCCACTAGCCCTTCTCTTCTCCGGTATTGTGAGGTTCAGTTCTTTGTATGTCTTCTTCTCCCAGCACTCATTGTTCAGGCTCCACCTATGACTTTGTTCATGTATCAGTTTTGTGCTCTCCTCAGTTTCTTTCTCCTATTTCATATTGTGCTTGATGAGGTGTGGTTTTATGCTGGTACTGCATGCTGTAGTACTGCTCTCTTACAAGTGGTGCACAGTACTGTGTTGTGCAAGATTACTTGTTGGGGTTCGTGAAGACTTTTGTTGTATAGCTAACCTTATATCCAGAGTCCCTCCTCAACTCTCAAACTTTCAGGCGACTGGGCATATATAAATTATTATAATATATACTGAGACATATAATATATATCAGAATGTAAGTTATGGAGTAAGTGGGACAAGGGAGTGTGTGCTGGTAAGCTTCACCTTCATATATTTGAACTCTCAACATGTCTTGACTTTTTAATGTAAATTCCAGCTTTTTTTAAATGTAACTCTTCCCAGCTTCTGGGAACAGTTATAATGGTAAACTGAAAGTCATGGCAGAGTGTTTGTGTGTGAATGTATCTTGCTAGAATGTAAAGTGCTACAAAAGATATCTAGTTGTTGGAGATTTCGAGGATCAATATCCCCACAGCCCAGACTCTGACCAGGCCAGAGACCAAAATATCAAAGATATTTTGGAGCATCATTAACATCCAAAAGTATTCACTGCTAAAAACCACATTATTTAGTTAATTCGCTATTATAAATAGTTTACATATGGTATTCCTAATGTTTTTTCATAGTGAAAATCATCCAGCTACAGTAAATAAGAGTTTTGAGTATCTTATGAGAAATGTGTTTACTAAGTTTGCACTCAAAATTACAAACTAAATAATTGGAGTTACCTTTTGTGAATAATACTTTCACTGTAACAATAATGATCAAGGAAACTACAAATAACATATTGGCCCATGTGAGGCAGCTCCTATTTATATTCACCCACACTCATGCATTTATACATAATGTCTAACCAACACTCTAAACCAGTGGTACCCAACCGAGGGTGTATGGACACCAAGGGGTGCATGAAAGAACGTCAAGGGGTCCCTGTGACTAATATTAGTTACTGTATTGTACTCTTAACAAAATAAGAACCACTTATGACTGTGTTGAACTGCATGTCTTCTGTTGTTATTTACATGTAGTTTTAACTGAGAATAACAGTGCAGAGTTCGTGAGACATGAATGTATGTATTTGTCGTAACAATGATTGTATGTTAATTTTGCTGCTTCGATCCGTTTTTTAAGGGTCCACAGGTGAGAACGTGGTTGTAAGGGGTTCACAGGTGAGAACGTGGTTGTAAGGGGTTCACAGGTGAGAACGTGGTTGTAAGGGGTTCACAGGTGAGAACGTGGTTGTAAGGGGTTCACAGGTGAGAACGTGGTTGTAAGGGGTACACAGGTGAGAACGTGGTTGTCAGGGGTTCACAGGTGAGAACGTGGTTGTAAGGGGTTCACAGGTGAGAACGTGGTTGTCAGGGGTTCACAGGTGAGAACGTGGTTGTAAGGGGTTCACAGGTGAGAACGTGGTTGGAAAAGGGGGGATGAGACATAAAAGGTTGGGACCCACTGTTCTAAACAGTCCATCGATCCCACGTGTTATTTAACTTATTGTAACTTCTTCCTTGTATTTCAGCTTCACCCCCACCACCATCCTCAGATCCTGAACATCGAGGAGGAATTGCAGAGTTAATTTCATGATTTAAAAGAAAAGGAGAGACAAAGTATATTTTACAATACAATACTTGTGACCTTTTAATGGTAATATTAGTTTGTGGGTTTATTATTGTGTTTGGCATTTACATTACTTTTGAACAATCTTTTAGTGTGATCAGCATTATGCCACTACATGTATTCTGCTTATAATTGTTGTTTATATAATTCTGGTATACTTAAAGCAAAGTTGTTTGTGGGTAATTCTTTCCATAATGGTGTTGAATTTCTTAAAGCTAAGAAATTAATTGGATAATCTTCAGTCCATAATAGGAACTTTTGCTACTAATATACATGTGTAATATATTTAGATATTTTACTTAGAATTTCTTTGAGATGAGATTAATATCGAATTCTAGAGACTAGTTATTCAGGTTAGGTCAACAATGTTTTGATGTTTGCTCAGAGTGTAATTGAAGAGCATAAATTAGTGCAAACTGTTGCCATGGAACTATACTGGCACAATCTCGATCTGTGAAGTGTTTAGTATTACTCTGATTGTAAAAAAAATTAAATAACCCCCATTCTTTGTATGATAATAAAGCTGGTGCCTCAGAGTACTGTAGGACTTCGTTTACCCTTTTGTACTCCATCGGTGCTATACAGACACAGCCTTAAGTTTATATATACTATTAAGAAACTGTAGCGATATCCTTATCAAGGAAGTTATCTTGAACCAATGTTAATTATAAATAGGGAGGATATAGGGTTCCTGTGGGAAGGATGGGGTCCTAGAAAAAGGTTTTATTAAGATCCTTGCAAGATTGCAAGGATCTTGATTTAAGATCTACAAGATTTAAGATCCTTGCACAGGGGCCGACCTCAACTGCCCTATGACACCTCCCCCCCCCCCTCTCGCCTCCAGCCTTGGACACAGACAGACATTATCTTTTATAGATACAGATAGATACATGTGTCGAACATTGTGAAATATATATATAAATCTATTTGGGAACTGTTGTCTGTTTCAGAGTGATTGAGAGCGTCAGTGTTATCCTTCTCGCTCCTAAATGATTCTTCTGATTTTGCTGACAGTTAAGCCATTACTGAGCATAATTTTTTGTGGGGAGAATTGTATACATTTATATGTACATTGCAGAAGACAAATAAGAAATAAATCCATCAGAATCAACTCAAAAGAATTTAGTGCACAAATTGATACTGATTGGTATAATAATGAGAGAACTATTAACTCATACGGGTGTGTGTAAACTGGTAACCTCTTTAACGTGAGAATAAACATCCTCCTGGAGTCGACCCCCAATCTACAGTGTAGCAGGTCGAGGCTCCACCACCACACCACAGTCCCCACATTAATGAGAGGCAAGCAGTAATGTACCACCACTCAACTTACACATTCAGACACTTCTTGTTAGATTTACTTATCAAAGCTTATTTATCACATTCTAAAATAAGTTTATCAATTGGCCAAATTGCACAATTCAAATTAATTATAGACACTTATATTCTTTGGAAACAATGGCAAGTGGAGTGCCACAGGGCTGTGTCCAGAGACTTTATCGAACATCGTGTACGTCAATGATTTAGATACTAGTGTGAACAGCAGTGTATTATCAGGTATTATATATATGGGCCCCTATCGTAGGAGGTCTAGTTTAATGGTCTTATTTCTTATAATTTAGTTTCTGCAATGTACTATACGTAAAATTCTCCAAATAAATATCATGGCTCAGCAGTGGCTTAACTATCGGCAAAATTATTAGTCCTGTAAGTGCTGGAGGGAAACGCTGACATATACACACCCAACACAGAAATTACAGATTTGCCTTATTTATATTTAGCAATTCTCAAACTTTCATTTTCCATTCACAAAATATATTGCATAATTTTGGGGTTCGGTTCGAGTCCATTATATGCTTAGCCTTTTCCACTTCCTCCCACAGAATGGGTAAAAACTCTATATAGATTCATTGCCCAGAAGGCAAAAAAAAAATATCTTATATTTCCATAAATCCTTTAGCTAAAGTTATCGAGGTCTTCCTAGACCAACTGCTGATGATCATTACCAGAATGAAACCAACAACAATTTACTAGCGCCATGGTGCCTATTTACTACTATGCTAGATGAACAGACACATCAGATGAAAGGAAACGTGCCCAAGCATTTCTGTCCCGCTCAAGAATTGAACCCGGGATGCTTGATTGAGAGTTGAATAGACCCAGTACTATTACAAGACCACCCACAAGAGCCAACAGACCACATGAATGCACTGATGAGTACAAAAGGGTAAACGAAGTACTACAGTACTCCAAGGCACCAGCTTTATTACACAGGATGCAATTATTTAATATTTTGACAAATAACATTATTACTAAACACGTCTCAGGCAAAGATTGTGCCAATATAGTTCCATGGCAATAATTTGCAATAGTTCATACTCTTCTAGAAGACTGAGCAAACATCAAGACTTTCTTGAGCTAACCTGAAGAACTAGTCTCTAGGATTCTATATTATTCTCATCAAAATCCAAATAAAACATCCAAATATATTACATTGCTTTATTAATAGCTGAAATGCCTAGTATGTACTGAAGATTATCTAATTAAGTACTTGGCTATAAAAAATCAAAACTATTATGGAAATAATTATCCACAAACAACTTCTCTTTAAGTATGCCTGAATTTTAAGTGCAATTATAAATAGAATATATACAGTGACATAATGCTGATTACATTACAAGATTATTCGTAATTAATGTAACTTCTATATATCACACCATAAACATAAATACTAAATTGCCATTAAAATTTCAGAAGTATTGATTAAAATGTACTTTGCCTCTCTAAATATGAAATTCTTCAAATTAACTCTGCAGTTCCCTTCAAGACGAACAGCGCTTAGGGTGGGGCTGGAGCTGAAATTCAAGAAAGACGTTGTAATATGTCATAATGGGATCGTTGAATTGTTTCAAGCTGAAGTTACACATTTATATAAATTCATGTGTGGGTGAATATAAATAGGAGCTGCCACATGTGGGCCAATATGTCATATGTAATTTCCTTTATCATTACAATCATAGTATTAAACACAAAAGTTAACTCCTATTATTTAGCGAAAACTTTGAGGCCAAACTTAGTGTCAAACTCAGAAAAAACATTTCTCATAATATACGCTAGATTTCTATTCATTGTAGCAGGAATAATTTTCAATAATTAAAAAAAACATTAAAAGATGCACATGCAAACTGGTCATAATAATGAATTGATTAAATAATGTGCTGGCTTTTAGCACTGAATACTGTACTTTTGGATGTTTGTGTATTCCCGGTCTCTGGCCTGGTCAGAGAAAGGACCGCGGGGATATTGATCCTCGAAATATCCAACAAATAGATATCTTCTGTAGCACTTTACATTCTAGCAAGATAAAGACACACAAACACTCTCCCATGACTATCAGTTTACCATTATAACTGGTCCCATAAGCTGGAATTTACATTAAATTGTCTAGACACGTTGAGCTAAAATATATGAAGGTGAAGCTTACCAGCACACACTCCCTTGTCCCACTTAGTCCATAAATTACATTCCGAGATATATATTATATCGCTCTATAAATTATATTAATATACATGTATATAAGCACAGTCGCCTGAAAGTTGAGGAGGGACTCTTGGACATAAGGTTAGCTACATAACAAAAGTCTTCATGAACTCCAACAAGTAATCTTGCACAACACAGTACTGTGCACCACTTGAAGCGAGCAGTACTACAGTACCAGCATAAAACTACACCTCATCAAGCACAATAAGAAATATGAAAAACAGATCACAAAACAGACACAAACAAATCATTAGTGGTACCGGAACAAAAAGTGCTGAGATAAGACAAAGAACTGAACCTCACAATACTGGGGAAGAGAACAATGAGGAGAAATTGTCTCAATATGCAAGATCTTTAAAGAATTGACAAACTGGAAAGGTATAGACTGGTTAGCATAGTTGAAGTTAGCAAGCCATGCACGTTCAATTTAGTCAGGAGGAGATAAGGAAATGCCGAGCTTTTGTGTACAGGAAGTGAGCAAGTTCAATGTGTCAGCAAGTATTGGAGACTACAACAATGTTTATTTCATATGACACCTTAGAAAGGCTGGGCTCAAGAATTAGAGAGCAATTGACGCACACATGTATTAATTTACTTATTATGAAGTAAAGTTTGAACACTAGCCGTGATACGGAAGGGTCTTTGCTTTTATACAAAGAATTAAGACAATATACAAACAAAAATGGGAATGAAACCCTTATTCGTGAACACGTTCACTCAGTGTGGGTGTTTTCATCTTGAAATGCGGTTTCTTGTCAAAATTTACATTAATTTTCTACGAGCCAAAAACAGTGAAAATATATAACACGAGGATTAATTACTTTAGTCCACGTGTAAAATATAAATATTACCTCCAGGTCTACCAAATGGTCCACTGCTCGGCTGAGTGCTTTGAAGATGGTGGAAAGCCTCATCTACCTGACTCTTGTGGTCGAACAGGAAGCCATCCAATGTGTATGTAACGATCCCGTCAGGCAACGTCTGGGCAGTGTCCACACTCACGTCATTTACAGTGATCTGATCTGAAATTGCACAAGCACATGCCAATACAGTATTAACTAAGCAGGAGATTTAATAAATTAGTTTGTGCAAACTTCCACATACAGCCTTTACTTAATAATACACAGTTACGGTACTTAAAACGCCGAAAAATATATTACACATTATCTGGCTGCCGACTATTCAGTAATGAGGGAAACTAAATATAATTAAGAAGCATGGAATATGATAATCTCCAGTTTTACCTTTGGCATCCTTCTTAAATGTGAGCTGGTTGCCATTGAAGTTGCTCACAGACAGACCTTCGGGCTGCAGCATCTCTGCGTTATCAGGACTGACAGCCTCTGACACCATGTAGTCCCGCAGGAACTCTGTGCGCAGGTCCCTGTACTCGTTACTGTACAGTGGATGTGCGGCGCCCATCGGTACAAGGTTCATCAGCATACTGGAAGCGGGAGACAGGACCGTTTTGGGACCTGTAATCATCAAGCTGCACATTAGACGTTTACTTCAAGTTAAAATATATTTCACCAAAAATTGAAGTTAATACTTCCAAAAATAGGCAATAGTGTACACCATGCATTATCTATAAAGTCAAAAGTACAATGGACTCGACCCAATGGAGTCTCTCCGTCTGTACACATTCACTAGTACTGCTTCATCCTTTATGAGAACAATAATAGATTATTGATATATTTAATCATCCGCACGACTGTATGCTTGCTACCTGTTAATTGTTATTTAACAGTCAACAACTATTATGTAGCTTTATTGTATTAAATTAACAATTTCGAACGGTCACAAGAGAACACCCAACTTCGGCGATCTATCAAGTCAGAACAAAAATTAATTAAATATACCAAGTTTTTGGAAGTTGAAAGGCTCATTTGGTAATTATTCTTATAGCAAACAAAAAGCTAATTATTTTTGGATAATAAAAAGGTGATTATTTTACGTGGGGGTTTCTTGCAAACAAATGAATTTTACATAGTCATAATCTGGCCAAGGTAGACTAACCTGGTCCCTCACACACTAGCGGCTGGCCCTTGTCGTCCTTCTGGTTCCTGAGGGCGTGTTCCCATAGGCTGTAGGTGGGGGTATTGTCGAGGGTGACAGAGTCTGGGATGCTGGGCACCAGGATACCTTTGGCAGCACTGGTCATTGTAACCACTGAGAGCACTGCTAGCAGCCTAGCTACCCCGAAAACTAAGGAAAAATATTTAGTTTTAATAAATGACAATATATTTATATTCTATTATACATCAATAAAATGTTTAACCGTGTTTTTCGGAGATTGCCAGAGAGAGCAGGAGCCAGGCGTCCGCCTTGCAGTAAAGATGAAACAGATACCTTGGCAAATGCAAGTGATGTTACTTTGAATCTACGTAGATGCTCTGTTTATTAAAAGTTACTTAATCATGCTTTCCTAGCTGGGGAGTTATTTCCATATATCCAGCTAGACAAATTTAGAAATACCGGCTATTTTAAATGTGTAAGATAGAATTCTAACTTGCAGCCTAGTATTATTTACTTTTCATTAGTGTTTTGCTCCTCTAGTTTTCCAAACAAAATTTGTTAAGAGATACGCAATAATTCATTATGCCTTAAAATATTAATAATACCAGTTATTTCACAAGATTCATTAAATCCACAGATGCCCAATGGTTAATTCACAGTATACCCTGTCAATCTTCAAAAGAAAATATGCTTTTTAGAACACTAGATGAATAATATTGTTAATGTTCGGCAGTGGCGTGTTAGCCTAAGTTGGTCGGTGTACAACCCGTCCTCAAGGGTATGCACCTGCTTGGTCCATACCCTTGAGGACTCGCCCTCGGCCTCGTCCTGCACAGGCAGTGCTGATCAACCTCGCCCCTGCACAGGCAGTGCTGATCAACCTCGCCCCTGCACAGGCAGTGCTGATCAACCTCGCCCCTGCACAGGCAGTGCTGATCAACCTCGCCCCTGCACAGGCAGTGCTACAAAGTTCCATTCACAACAATGGCCACTATCGCCCCCATACACAAACCGTTCGAATTTATTGACGCCATCTATTATGCTGGCAGAATACTTCAAACTCATGAAGATATATAAACAAATTGACGAATATGGGAGAGGGAAAGAGTCGCAATGTTTTAGTTAGACAATGTCTGTTCTATAAATTATATTATAACACATATTATATATATATATATATATATATATATATATATATATATATATATATATATATATATATATATATATATATATATATATATATATATTTAATATATGTCATAAGGATTGGTCAGTCTTGGCGCTTATTAACTAAGCTCCCTGACTGACCAACCCCCGACGACACTCATGGATCCATTTGGGTACAGTTTTTCATCAAATTCTGGCGCATGGACGGCATGGGTTCGAATCTTGGCCGGGTCAAAGAGTTAGTGATATATGGCTTGCGCGTTCATGCAGCTTTCTCACATAAGTTACTCAGTGCGGCCCGTGCATGCGCCAGAATTTGATGAAAAAACTGTACCCAAATGGATCCATGAGTGTCGTCGGGGGTTGGTCAGTCAGGGAGCTTAGTTAATAAGCGCCAAGACTGACCAATCCTTATGACGATTATTGGTGCGGTGGTCACGGTACTGTGTACGTTTAGGGGTGATCCTTGACGGCATGGGTTCGAATCCTGGCCGGGTCAAGAGTTCTTAGTGATATATGGCTTGCGCGTTCATGCAGCTTTCTCATATATATAAACCAATGTTTATTCGATAGGATTACGTAATACCAACAGCTTGCTTATCTGCTAGGATATGACGTAATACCAACAGCTTGCTTATCTGCTGTGATTATATTTCATGCATCTAATATAGAAATGTGGACTCCATAACTCTTTATACAGGGCTAACTGACCGCCGGTTACAGGCATGTGAGAAGGTGGTCGAGGCAGGCGTGTGTGGGAAGTTAAACACCTGCTGGTCTGGCCACACCATCACCCAGTACCCTGGTTAACCACACCGTCATCTAGCGCACACACACACCAGCTGTTTGGCTACACAGTTACTTAAAACACACCATCTCGCACACCATCTACGGCAACACTCACCAGCTGAGCGACGTGTCATCCTGCCTGCTGCCGTTACCACACTAATCAAATTGCTGCACCTCCCACCCTTATATACCCACCTTGTGTGGTGGGGGGGGGGGGGAGCTGGAGAGAGGCGCCTCCGTCCTGTTGACTAATTAGTATGGAATACTGTTAAGCTATTGTTTGTCATGCTTGATTCTTGGTAATGCCCTCGGGAGACTCCTACGACTGGAAGGCTCCTAGGTGAGGGTAGTGAGTGACTCCTACGACTGAAAGGTTCCTAGGTGAGGGTAGTGAGTGACTCCTATGACTGGAAGGTTCCTAGGTGAGGGTAGTGAGTGACGCCTATGACTGGAAGGTTGCTAGGTGAGGGTAGTGAGTGACGCCTATGACTGGAAGGTTGCTAGGTGAGGGTAGTGAGTGACGCCTATGACTGGAAGGTTCCTAGGTGAGGGTAGTGAGTGACGCCTATGACTGGAAGGTTGCTAGGTGAGGGTAGTGAGTGACGCCTATGACTGGAAGGTTGCTAGGTGAGGGTAGTGAGTGACGCCTATGACCGGAAGGTTCCTAGGTGAGGGTAGTGAGTGACGCCTACGACTGGAAGGCTCCTAGGTGAGGGTAACTGAGTAATTGTCGAAAAAAGCACCAAGCTGGGAATCTATGCACCACCATTATTAGAAAGGGTGAGTGACACTCCGGGCAAAGTCTGAACAGTGATAAAAATCCTTGTTTCGGCGACGATACAACTTTATATATCACTGATAAAGACCGTGGCACCATGTTAAAAGCAGTTCAATTAACAAGACGCAGTGCGGTACCTGGTATTTAACCTGCTCAGGTGTTAATCTCCTATTGTTGTTGTTTTAGATTCAGCTGCTAGAACAAAAGTTCCATGTAGCTATATATACTTAGGAGTGAGGCGTGGCATTAATAAGTTCTTCGCTCTATAAGGGAATCAATATTATATTTTCGACGTCCATACTATCAAGAGCTTTATTAATAGACGGAGTAGGATCAGCGGAGGTAACCAAGTCATCGTTGAATGCTGATTTGCCGTTGTCAAGATTAGAAAGCCTATTAGATTTATTGAGGTCTCCCTAACTAACGACTCGCCAGGTCTACTAACTTCCAGATGCCTATTTTCTGCTAGGTGAACAGAGACATCAGGTTTTAAGGAAGCATGCCCAAATGTATTGTCCTGCCATGGAATCAAACTTGGGGTACATTTGGTTGTGAGCCAAGTTCCATGTATGCCCTTTAGAGCGGTGGTTCCCAAATTCTTTTCGGTCATTACCCTTTTTTCATATAGCGTTCTTATTAATGGCCCGCTACACTCAGTAAAGGACCCCGTCTGGTATCCTCTGGTATCATAACCTGGTCACTGCCTCAACTTACGGCCCCTAGTTTGGGAACCAGTGCTTTACAAACACTGTTTTACGTCCATGACCTTCATAGAGGTGAAGTTGCTTAACCGACGAGGATGAGATTGTGTAACCCAAGGACAGATGGGTAAGGTTACCTAAATGTTGACCATTTTTGATTAGCCAGTCATTTTATAGAAGGATTTGCGAGGCTGTGGTGTAATAAGTTTACATTTAATGACCTAAGTGTTATGTTACGAAAATTGTGATTTACACGACGCGCATGCTGGAGCAAGGGATGATAGGCTACACCCCGGTGCGTTTTGGTAAATTTATGAATAATCATCATCCGGAGGTTTTTATCCACACACAATATTATTGTTAGTGAATATACATATGCATAGCAGGTTTTTGCCATCTGTGGACGTCACGTGGAATAATTTCCGAAGTCTTATCCTGGGCAGCATCATTTTTCCAGTCGGTATTTTTTGCAAATCACATGTAACAAGAAATATTTTCTTAATGCTCACGTTTCTAATAAATAAAAGTATTTACTTCATATCTTTAATGCTATGAAACAAACCGCTCACTTTAAAAACAATAATGGCTCTCTTATATACCGTAGTAACCCACGCATTTCAACATTTTGCCGCCAACATTTACCATTTTAACCTGAATGTTTGGAATAATTATATAATGCTAAGGCAATTAGCATTGACATTTATTACACAAATCCCATTTCATCCGCCCAGTGAAAGACAGCTTCAAATAGATCTAAATATCATTTTTTTAACATATAACAAAGTTTCCACGTACCTGACATCCACTTGCTGGTCAACATGTTTTTTTTTTTTTACAGTAAGCGATAAGTTCCACTGCATTTAATATATGAAATAAATACATTAAATTATTAAGAGACGTGAATATTAAGAAAATAAACCTTGTTGAACTATTATGAAAGGATATTTGTCTATGATTAATGGCTATCATATGAATAGCTATATATTAACATTTCACACTGTATGGATGTTGATAATTGTTAATCTTTCTTGACGATCCCAAGGATGCCGTCTGAGTACAAGTGATAGGATTAACAACCCAACAGGTTTTCTGTTTTCAGCGGGTGTTGTACATGTTGCTATGGCAGTTCACTCATAGGGTGAATGATGCTGCACATTCACTGGGGTTAACATAAGGTTAAGGTTCTGTAGCGGCCGCGGGCATGATGTAAAATAGACGCAGGTGAACAAGAGCTGCGTACATGATGGCTGGTGAGCTGAAACGCAGGACTGGACTGGGTGATCATGAATGACCTTGGATAATGAAGTTTTGTAGTGAGCGTGAAACTGTATAACGATATCACTTTAAGGATTAGTGCCAATTAAGTGAAATATGAAGGATAGCTAGTGCCATGACGATTGTATATGAACGAAGGGAAAATGATGTTTGAGAAATAGTGAATTTGTACTTTATAGTTGCTTATTCGTATATATATATATATATATATATATATATATATATATATATATATATATATATATATATATATATATATATATATATGGAGGAGGGTGGTAACTTTATGATAAAGTCGTACAGCAAATATGTGAATTGTAAAGGGGACTGAGGCGTGATGGTACGGTAGCACGGACGAGAGAGGGCGCTGAAGGACATGCAGGTCGAAGGAGACTTCATTGTTTTCCTTGTAAGGAACGATGGAGAGATAAAAAGGTTATGTTTAGAGTTGATGTAATGATTTTTTGTCATTTATGAGAGGTATTGATAGTAGTAAGAAGCATGATGTGGTGTTGAGTACTGGTGTGTGCTTATTGCTCAGTGATATGTTGGTTGAGTAGGCTGCTGCTATGGATTAATGTTGAATTTCATTATTTATATCGACGCGTTATTGTTGAGATTTACATTCGAAATTATAGATTGATGTTCACTTTAATTATTCCCTTTAATGACAAAGGAATTGATGCCGGTAAATGCCGTAAACTTGATTTTAATACATCAACACAGTATGGGTCCTTGTATCTGAAAAATGTACTTTTGTTCACACTAGTATCTAAATCATTGACGTACACGATGTTGGGTAAAGTCTCTTTTCACAGCCCTGTGGCACTCCACTTGCCATTGTTTCCAAAGAATATAACCGTGTCTATAATTAAATTAGAATTGTGCAATTTGGTCAATTGATAAACCTATTTTAGAATGAGATAAATAAGCTTGGATAAGTAAATCTAACCAAAAGTGTCTGCATATGTAAGTTGAGTGGTGGTACATTACTGCTTGTCTCTCATTAATGTGGGGACTGTGGTGTGGTGGTGGAGCCTCGACCTGCTACACTGTAGATCGGGGGTCGACTCCAGGAGGATGTTTATTCTCACGTTAAAGAGGTTACCAGTTTACACACACTCGTAGCAGTTATAGTTCTCTCATTATTATACCAATCAGTATCAGTTTGTGCACTAAATTCTTTGCGTTAATTCTGTTGAGTTTTATTTCTTATAATTTGTCTTCTGCAATATACATATAAATGTGTAAAATCCTCCCTACAAATAATTATGCTCAGCAATGACATATCTGTCAGCAAAATCAGAAGACTCATTTAGGGGCGAGAAGGATAACACTGAGACTCTCAATCACTCGGAAATAGACAACAGTTCCCAAATAGATTTATGTATATTTCACATGTTCGCATCTATCTGTATCTATAAAAGATCACGTCTGTCTGTGTCCAAGGCTGGAGGCCAGATGCATGGGGGCTAACCTTACCCAACTTTTCAAGATTAAATAGGATGGAGAAAGGGGGGGGGGTGTCATAGGGTAGTCGAGGTCGGCCCCTGTGCCACTTTTAAGAAAAACTGGCACTTACAGTGGATCCTTTCTTAACGAAACCCCATAATTCCCCCAGAAACCCCCCCCTCATCCATCACCCATCCTTTTTCCAGGAACCCCATCCTCTATTTACAACTATCATTAGTCCAAGATAACTTTGTTGATTAGGATCTCGCTACAGTTTCTGAAGATTATATAATCTTAAGGCTGGCACTGTATAGAGAGACCACAGATATAATGACCAATAGATAAAACACAAACCATCTTGTAAGAGGCACATGAATGCACTCATTAGTACACAAGGGTAAACGAAGTACCACAGTAATCTAAGGCACCAGCTTTATTATCATACAAAGATTGGGGGTTACTTAATGTTTAGACAATCAGAGTAATACTAAACACTTCACTGATCGAGATTGTGCCAATATAGTTCCATGGCAACAGTTTGCACTAGTTTATGCTCTTCAATTACATTCTGAGCAAACATAAAGATCTTGCCGAGCTACCCTGAAGAACTAGTCTCTACAATTTAATATTAATTTTATTTTAAATGCTCTAACCTTCTTAACAAACGTGATTTGACTTTTCCCCCTTCTAGGCTCTCTGCTCTTTCTTTCTCTTATGTTGCCAACTCTTTTTTTTCTTCTTTCTCATTTAACCTCCTGTCATTTTCTTTGTTTTATAATGTTTACCTTTTTGTTTGTGAAACTTTTTCTTATATCTATACCATATTCTTATTCAATTTTCTTTCCCTTACTTCTGACCTTTCCTATATCTAACCTTTTCTTAATTATTACCTATCATCTCGCTCTCCAACCTTCATCTCACTCACTCACCTCATAAATTTTCTGTTTCTACCCTTCTTTTTTTCCATTACGCGACTTTATAATAATCCAGGACGGACGGAAACATCGTCAATTCTTCCTTTTCAGATTTGTGGGTTGGGTGTCTAATCTTTAGCCACAGCATTGTAACTCATCATCTGCATCTCAAAGAAGTTCTAATTAAAATATCTAAATATATTTAACTAGTTTATAAACAGATAAAATGCTTAGTATGTTTTTAAAATTATCCAGTTAATTATCTAGCTTAAAAAATCAAAACAATTATGGAAAGAGTTATTCACGAACCACTTTGATTTTAATATGCCTGAATTATATATTAGGTGCAATTATAAACAGAAGATATATATAGTGACATAATGCTGACCACACTACAAGAATGTTCGAAAGGAATGTAAATTCCATACATCTCAATAATAAACAAAACTAAAACTGCCATTAAAATACCACAACTATTCTATTTCAAAATATACTTTGCCTCTTTTTTTTTTTTGCTGTTGAAATTCTTGAAGTGAACTCTGCAAGTCCCTTCAGGACGACCAGCGCTTAGGGTGTTGGAGCTGGAATTCAAGGAAGAAGTTACAATAAGTTAAATTACACGTGGGATCGATGGACTGTTTAGAGCAGTGAGCCCCAACCTTGAATGTCTCATTCCTCTTTTCCAACCACATTCTCATGTGTGGACCCGTACAACCACGTTCTCACTTGTGGACCCCTACAACCACATTCTCACTTGTGGACCCCTACAACCACGTTCTCACTTGTGGGCCCCCCTACAACCACGTTCTCACTTGTGGGCCCCTACAACCACGTTCTCACTTGTGGACCCCTACAACCACATTCTCACTTGTGGACCCCCCTACAACCACGTTCTCACTTGTGGGCCCCTACAACCACGTTCTCACTTGTGGGCCCCTACAACCAAGTTCTCACCTGTGGGCCCCTACAACCACGTTCTCACTTGTGGACCGTTAAAAAATAGATCGAAGCATCACAATTAACAGAACATCATTGTTGCGACAAATACTTACATTCATTCGACATTCGACACAGTCATAAGTGTTTCTTATTTTGTTAGAGTACAATACAGTAACTAATATTAATCAAATGGACCCCTTGACATTCTATCATGCACCCCTTGGTGTCCATACACCCTCGGTTGGGTACCACTGGTTTAGAGTGTTGGTTAGACATTATGTATAAATGCATGAGTGTGGGTGAATATAAATAGGAGCTGCCTCACATGGGCCAATATGTTATTTGTAGTTTCCTTGATCATAATTGTTACAATGAAAGCATTAAGACACAAAATTTAACTAATTATTTAGTCGTAACTTTGAGAGGGAACTTAGTATGAGACTTAGTAAACATATTGCTCGTAAAATAATGTAAAATCTTATTCACTGTAGTAAGAAAAATTTTCACTGATGAAAAAACATTAAGCGTATCATATGTAAACTAGTTATAATAACGAATTAACTAAATATTGTGGTTTTTAACAGTGAATACTTTTGGGTGTTAATGGTGCTTTAAAATATCTACGGTATTTTGATCTCTGGCCTGGTCAGAGACCGGGCCGCGGGGATATTGATCATCGAAATCTCTAACAGGTAGATATCTTCTGCAGAACTTTACATTCTAGCGAGATAAAGACACATTCACACACAAACACTCTGCCATGACTTTCAGCTTACCATTATAACTGTTCCCAGAAGTTGGGAGTTACATTAAAATGTCAAGACATGTTGAGAGTTAAAATACATGAAGGTGAAGCTTACCAGCACACACTCCCTTGTCCCACTTACTCCACAACTTACATTATGATATATATATATATATATCTCAGTATATATATTATAATAATATATATATGCCCGAAAGTTTGAAAGATGAGGAGGGACTCTGAACATAAGGTTAGCAATACAAAAAAAAAGTCTTCATGAATCCCAAGTAATCTTGCACAACACAGTACTGTGCACCTTGCATACAAAGAGTCAAGACACTTATTCCAGTACCCAGCAATGTACAAACAAAAATGGGAATGGGGCTCATATCCTTGAACACGTCCACTCAGTGTGGCTGCTATATTCATCTTGAAATGAGGTTTCGTATTTGTCAAACTTTATATTAATGTTCTACGAGATAAAACAATGGGAAAATATTACACAAGGCTTAATTTCTACAGTCCATGTATAAACTAAAAATATATTACCTAGAGGTCTACCAAATGGGCCAGTTCTCGGCTGAGTCCTCAGGAGATGACGGAAAGCCTCGTCCACCCGACTCTCATGGTCGAACAGGAAGTTATCCAATGTGTATGTGACGATCCCGTCAGACAATGTCTGGATAGTGACCACATTAACGCCATTTACAGTGATCTGATCTGAAATTGCACAAGCACAGTAAAATACAGTACTAAATATGCAGGTGGTATAATAAATAAGTTTGTGTAAACTTTCAGATGTACGCTTTTAAAAGTGCCTTAACACGACACATAATTACGGCAATTAAGTTAAAACGCCTTAGAATGTTTTACATGTTATCTGGCTGCCGACTATTCAGTAATAAGGAAAACTAAATATAATTAAGAAATATGGAATATGATAATCAACAGTGTTACCTTCGGCATCCTTCTTAAATGTGAGCTGGTTGCCATTGAGGTTGCTCACAGACAGACCTTCGGGCTGCAGCATCTCTGCGTTATCAGGACTGACAGCCTCTGACACCATGTAGTCCCGAAGGAACTCTGTGCGCAGGTCCACGTAATCGTTACTGTACAGGGGGTTTGGGCCGTCCGATGGTACAAGGTTTCTCATGTCCCCGGATAAGACTGTTTTGGGACCTGTAAACGTCACGCCGCTCAATACACGTTTACTTTAAGTTCAATATATATTTCATCAATGAAAAATTGGAAGTTAGTATTTCCAAAATAGGCAATAGTGCACAGCATACATTATCAATAATGTCATCCTCAACTCATATATTAATAGACAACCAAGTCTCGCCGAAACAGTTGACTAGTACAGTACTATTTGAACATTAATGAGAATAATAATCGATAATCGATGCATCTAATTAATGTGCACGATTGTACTCTTGCTACCTGTTCATTGTTACTTATTCAGCCAACAGCTAATATTTATTTACACCTCTTTATTGTGTGTTTATTAAATAGACAACAATTTTGAGTAATCCCAAGAAAACACCCAACTTTGGCAATGTATCTTAGTTCAGAAGTAGGTGGTTTTGTTTTTTTAGCATACTAAAAGCATGCTTACTATTTTGGAATAAGATTTAAAATTGAGTATTTTTCGTGGGGGTTTACCGGCAGGTGTTTAGCTTTCTTGGAAGCAGACAGTTTACATAATAGACTAACCTCATTCATAGTAGACTAACCTGGTTCATCACTCACTAGCGGCTGGCCCTTGTCGTCCTTCTGGTACCTGAGGGCGTGTTTCCATAGGTTGTAGATGTTGGTATTGTCGAGGGTACCAGAGTCTGGGATGCCGGGCACCAGGATACCTTGGGCAGCACTGGTCATTGTAACCACTGAGAGCACTGCTAGCAGCCTAGCTAGCCCGAAACCTAAAGAAAAATATTTTTTATAATAAATGACAATATATTAATATTATATTATGCATCAATAAAATGTTTAACCGTGTTTTTCAGCGACTGCCAGAGGGAGCAGGAGCCAGGCGTCTGCCTTGCAGTAAAGATGAAACAGAAGAGGAAATAGGACACCTCCCTTGGCATATCTTATTTATAAACATAGAATGTTACCTTGCCGACTAGTATTATTTAAAATTTACAAAATAATATTTTGCTCCTTTAATTATCCAAATCAATCGTGTTAAGAGATACGCAATAATAAATAATACTTTTTAATATCGATTCCTAAAGGTTAGTACTGGCCTTATTAGCCTAAGTTGGCTGGTGTAGTTTCGTATATTTATGCACGAAAACGTCGGGCGATTATGAGTGTTTCATGGGTATGAGAAGTGCCTTGGTGGATGGGTATTTAAGTGAATGGCGACATTAAAACTATAGTCCTAAATATTTTCAGACTTGTTATAAATATGGGTTTAGAGTCAGCATTAAACAATCTCGCCCTGTACGCAGCACTGATCAATTTGGCCCGGTACGCAGCACTGATCAATCTGGCCCGGTACGCAGCACTGATCAATTTGGCCCGGTACGCAGCACTGATCAATCTGGCCCGGTACGCAGCACTGATCGACCAAAGCTCTGTTCACAACAATAGCCGAATACCCACGCCCCCTATATACACCTGGTTGATGGGGTTCTGGGAGTTCTTCTACTCCCCAAGCCCGGCCCGAGGCCAGGCTTGACTTGTGAAAGTTTGGTCCACCAGGCTGTTGCTTGGAGCGGCCCGCAGGCCCACATACCCACCACAGCCCGGTTGGTCCGGCACTCCTTGGAGGAATAAATCTAGTTTCCTCTTGAAAATGTCCACGGTTGTTCCGGCAATATTTCTTATGCTTGCTGGGAGGACGTTGAACAACCGCGGATCTCTGATGTTTATACAGTGTTCTCTAATTGTGCCTATGGCACCTCTGCTCTTCACTGGTTTTATTCTACATTTTCTTCCATATCGTTCACTCCAGTACGTTGTTATTTTACTGTGTAGATTTGGTACTTGGCCCTCCAGTATCTTCCAGGTGTATATTATTTGATATCTCTCTCGTCTTCTTTCTAGTGAGTACATTTGGAGGGCTTTGAGACGATCCCAATAATTTAGGTGCTTTATTGCGTCTATGCGTGCCGTATATGTTAGTCATCGTTAGTCACCGATCAAATTTATTTACGCCATTTATTATGCTGCCAAAAACACTAAAAAAAATATAACAAATGGTGAATAGAAGGGGTGGGCATTATGTTCCTATAATATAATGCCTGTTTCATACTTTACATGTACAACATATAAGACCAACACTGTTCCTTTAACAGGACACGACGTAATACAAAAAAAATCTTACTCATCTACAGTGAATATTTTTAACGCATCTTATAATGAAATGAGGTCTCTAAGTGAATTATTTGTACAGCGTGAACTGCTCGCCGCTGAAGGGTGGGGTAGAAACTTGCTAGTCTGCGCTGCCCAATAAACTCGCCCCTCGGGGCAAAATTTAAATTTAAAATGGTCACACCGTTAACTGGTACACACCACCTCATGTCCCAACCACGGCCACACTCACCATCTGATTTGATGATTGTTGCCGCCGAAGAGAGTTGTGCCATCCTGCCAGCTGCCGTTACCTCACTAACAAGTAACTTCCCCTCCCACCTTTATATACCCCTTGTGTGGGAGGAACTGGAGAGAGGCGCCTCTGTCCTGTTGATATTTAAATATGCATTGTTTTTCACACAATTAGTAAGTCATTTTATGACACGCTTCATGCAGGGTAACGCCCTGGAAAGACATTGGGTGACGCCTAAGACTATAGGAGGCTCCTAGGAGAGAGTAGCTGAGTACCGCCTACGGCTGGGGGTGGGATAAGGGGGTTCCAACAATCTCAATACAGCTACAGGAAGGGCAGGAAGTGCTGTTATTGCTCATCAGCCCGATGGCAGCACAATTCAAAGAAATATCCGAATTAGTAACTGGGCGTCCACAATGCAAGCCGAGTTGGTAGCGATACTGGTAGCACTCGAAATTATTGACAACACTGAAGTAGACAGCTTAATTATTTCTGGCTCCCTTTCCTCACTACGAGCAATAAACAGTTTGCAATCAAGTAATAACGTGCTTGTCTTGGAAGCTACACGTAGATATATAAGAATACTTAGCAAGAGGGTAAATATAAAAATATTATGGATTCCTTCTCACATTGGCATGCAGGAACATGACAAAGTTGACGTCCTTGCTAAGGCTGCAGTAAATAAAGACAGTATTGAACGGAATCTTGAGTTATCAAATAGGTCCCTTAAAAGTGTCATTAGACGAGAACTCCTGGATGGATTTGTAGAAAGTAGAACAGTGCAAACTGGAACTAGCAGGTCCATTGTTCATCACAATGAAATGTGTGAAGTAAAACATGTGTATGGGGCAAGTAACAAAGTCAGTAGACTAACATGTTTTCACAGCTCGTATAAGACTTGGCTACAAGTATCTCTGACAGTTCGGCTTGTATAGGGATCTAGATGAAGTAAAGTGTAAAGTGTGTGGACATAGACAGGGACACACACTCGAACACTATATCTTGGATTGTAGTAAAATTGAGCCTTTTAGAGATAAATCTAAGCTCACTCTGTATGATATGGCAACCTATCTTATTACCATGGATAAATTACCTGAAATCCTTGCACTGTACCCACATTTCGCTTCCAGTAGATGAACGACATATGAGATTCAGAAACAAGTAGTGTATTGTGAGGACTAATAATAAACAGAAGCTCCCCTATGACTCTGTAATATCCCCATTGGTCAAACTATTATGTATTAGCGATAAGATCTACCATTAATGTATGATGACTTACTGTAAATATGTAGCTCTTGTAATAGCACTTTCTCTGTAACTAGCTGACATTGTAACTATAAGGTGTGAAGGATAGAAGAAATTGTTTATGTAATAGCCTAAGATGAGGTCTGATGGCTACTAGGTACGACATATATATATATATATATATATATATATATATATATATATATATATATATATATATATATATATATATATATATATGGAGGAGGGTGGTAACTTTGTGATAAAGTCGTACAGCAAATATGTGAATTGTAAAGGGGACTGAGGCATGATGGTACGGTAGCACGGACGAGAGAGGGCGCTGAAGGACATGCAGGTCGAAGGAGACTTCATTGTTTTTCTTGTAAGGAACGATGGAGAGATAAAAAGGTTATGTTTAGAGTTGATGTAGTGATTTTTGTCATTTATGAGAGGTATTGATAGTTGTAAGAAGCAAGATGTGGTGTTGAGTACTGGTGTGTGCTTATTGCTCAGTGATATGTTGGTTGAGTAGGCTGCTGCTATGGATTAATGTTGAATTTCATCATTTATATCGACGCGTTATTGTTGAGATTTACATTCGAAATTATAGATTGATGTTCACTTTAGTTATTCCCTTTAATGATTAAGGAATTGATGCCGGTAAATGCCGTAAACTTGATTTTAATACATCAACACAGTATGGGTCCTTGTATCTGAAAAATGTACTTTTGTTCACACTAGTATCTAAATCATTGTCGTACACAATGTTGGGTAAAGTGTCTTTTCACAGCCCTGTGGCACTCCACTTGCCATTGTTTCCAAAGAATATAACAGTGTCTATAATTAAATTAGAATTGTGCAATTTGGTCAATTGATAAACCTATTTTAGAATGAGATAAATAAGCTTGGATAAGTAAATCTAACCAGAAGTGTCTGCATATGTAAGTTGAGTGGTGGTACATTACTGCTTGCCTCTCATTAATGTGGGGACTGTGGTGTGGTGGTGGAGCCTCGACCTGCTACACTGTAGATCGGGGGTCGACTCCAGGAGGATGTTTATTCTCACGTTAAAGAGGTTACCAGTTTACACACACTCGTAGCAGTTATAGTTCTGTCATTATTATACCAATCAGTATCAGTTTGTGCACTAAATTCTTTGCGTTAATTCTATTGGGTTTTATTTCTTATAATTTGTCTTCTGCAATATACATATAAATGTGTAAAATCCTCCCTACAAATAATTATGCTCAGCAATGACATATCTGTCAGCAAAATCAGAAGACTCATTTAGGGGCGAGAAGGATAACACTGAGACTCTCAATCACTCGGAAACAGACAACAGTTCCCAAATAGATTTATATATATTTCACAATGTTCGCATCTATCTGTATCTATAAAAGATCATGTCTGTCTGTGTCCAAGGCTGGAGGCCAGACGCATGGGGGCTAACCTTACCCAACTTTTCAAGATTAAATAGGATGGAGAAAGGGGGGGGTGTCATAGGGTAGTCGAGGTCGGCCCCTGTGCCACTTTTAAGAAAAACTGGCACTTAGTGGATCCCTTCTCAACAAAACCCCATCCTTTCCCCAGGAACCCCCCTCATCCATCACCCATCCTTTTTCCAGGAACCCCATCCTCTATTTACAACTATCATTAGTCCAAGATAACTTTGTTGATTAGGATCTCGCTACAGTTTCTGAAGATTATATAATCTTAAGGCTGGCACTGTATAGAGGGCCACAGATATAATGACCAATAGATAAAACACAAACCATTTTGTAAGAGGCACATGAATGCACTCATTAGCACACAAGGGTAAACGAAGTACTACAGTAATCTAAGGCACCAGCTTTATTATCATACAAATGATGGAATTGTTTAATGTTTTGACAATCAGAGTAATACTAAACACTTCACAGACCGAAATTGTGCCAATATAGTTCCATGGCAACAGTTTGCACTAATTTATGCTCTTCAATTACATTCTGAGCAAACATCAAGATCTTGCCAAGCTACCCTGAGGAACTAGTCTCTACAATTTAATATTAATTTTATCTTAAATGCTCTAACCTTCTTAACAAACGTGATTTGACTTTTCCCCCTTCTAGGCTCTCTTCTCTTTCTTTCTCTTATGTTGCCAACTCTTTTTTTTCTTCTGTCTCATTTAACCTCCTGTCGTTTTCTTTGTTTTATAATGTTTACCTTTTTGTTTGTGAAACTTTTTCTTATATCTATACCATATTCTTATTCAATTTTCTTTCCCTTACTTCTGACCTTTCCTATATCTAACCTTTTCTTAATTATTACCTATCATCTCGCTCTCCAACCTTCATCTCACTCACTCACCTCATAAATTTTCTGTCTCTACCCCTCTTTTTTTCATCACACGACATGATAATAATCCAGGACGGACGGAAACATCGTCAATTCTTCCTTTTCAGATTTGTGGGTTGGGTGTCTAATCTTTAGCCACAGTATTGTAACTCATCATCTGCATCTCAAAGAAGTTCTAATTAAAATATCTAAATATATTTAACTAGTTTATAAATAGATAAAATGCTTAGTATGTTTTTAAAATTATCCAGTTAATTATCTAGCTTAAAAAATCAAAACAATTATGGAAAGAGTTATTCACGAACCACTTTGATTTTAATATGCCTGAATTATATATTAGGTGCAATTATAAACAGAAGATATATATAGTGACATAATGCTGACCACACTACAAGAATGTTCGAAAGGAATGTAAATTCCATACATCTCAATAATAAACAAAACTAAAACTGCCATTAAAATACCACAACTATTGTATTTCAAAATATACTTTGCCTCTTTTTTTTTTGCTGTTGAAATTCTTGAAGTGAACTCTGAAAGTCCCTTCAGGACGACCAGCGCTTAGGGTGTTGGAGCTGGAATTCAAGGAAGAAGTTACAATAAGTTAAATTACACGTGGGATCGACGGACTGTTTAGAGCAGTGAGCCCCAACCTTGAATGTCTCATTCCTCTTTTCCAACCACATTCTCACTTGTGGACCCGTACAACCACGTTCTCACTTGTGGACCGTTAAAAAATAGATCGAAGCATCACAATTAACAGAACATCATTGTTGCGACAAATACATACACCGTTAAAAAATAGATTCACATTCGAACACATTCGACACAGTCATTCGACATAGACACAGTGTTTCTTATTTTGTTAGAGTACAATACAGTAACTAATATTAGTCACAGGGACTCCTTGACGTTCTTTCATGCACCCCTTGGTGTCCATACACCCTCGGTTGGGTACCACTGGTTTAGAGTGTTGGTTAGACATTATGTATAAATGCATGAGTGTGAGTGAATATACATAGGAACTGCCTCACATGGGCCAATATGTTATTTGTAGTTTACTTGATCATTATTGTTACAGTGAAAGTATTAAGACACAAAATTTAACTAATTATTTAGTCGTAACTTTGAGAGGGAACTTAGTATGAGACTTAGTAAACATATTGCTCGTAAAATACTGTAAAATCTTATTTACTGTAGTAAGAAAAATTTTCACTGATGAAAAAACATTAAGCGTATCATATGTAAACTAGTTATAATAACGAATTAATTAAATAATGTGGTTTTTAGCAGTGAATACTTTTGGGTGTTAATGGTGCTTTAAAATATCTACGGTATTTTGATCTCTGGCCTGGTCAGAGACCGGGCCGCGGGGATATTGATCATCGAAATCTCTAACAGGTAGATATCTTCTGCAGAACTTTACATTCTAGCGAGATAAAGACACATTCACACACAAACACTCTGCCATGACTTTCAGCTTACCATTATAACTGTTCCCAGAAGTTGGGAGTTACATTAAAATGTCAAGACATGTTGAGAGTTAAAATACATGAAGGTGAAGCTTA